CCATTGTGCTATCGTCTGACGTCGGTCCACATGATGAACGTGTTTTAAGGGCTCAGAAAGCCGTTCTTCGAAACACCCGTTGTCAGCACGAGCATAGCTGACTCTTGGCTGACTCCAAGCTGACTTCGACGAGCAATGCGAAGGCCAATAAGATCGTTTACAAGCACGAAGAAACGCCGCGCATACCGCGCTCGGCCGCGTTGTTGGTGAGCGTTAACTGCAAGATTATTTACGACTATGTGCAGATCAAATTCAAGCTCCGCTTGATCATATACTTAGACCACAAAACTCTGTCCAATCCATTATCAGCGCCCAATTTTGACTGCAACAGAGCACTCGCCCCAAGTCGACTGTGGACCTCTGTGATTGGACTGTATTTCTCTTCCAACGTCGCGGAATCTCGATTTTACTCTTGGCAGTGGTTCTTCTCCTCGAGCTGGTCCCTGGAGTCATTCGGGTCCAGAATAGTCGCGAATTAACGAGAAGTGAAGCCTTTCCGTCCGGGAGTCTAAACCTTCGCAAATCTTGGTTGGATCGTGAAGCTTGAAGCTTCAAAATTATCAATTCTCCCTGTCATCGATGATTTCCAGGTTCTGCAAGGACTGTGGTCAAACGATGTGAGTATCGTGCTCTAACCTTCGGTAATTTGCGAAAAAGGACTCCAATTCCTTCTCGCTGGGATCCCTCTGAATCGATCTCAGAGCTGGCTGAACCTGCGGACAACCGAGATCCGATCCTCTAAAAATCGCCTCCGGCGTAATTTTTGCCAGTCAGAGGTACTTGTTTTTAGACCAAACGTTTCGCAAGAATAACCAGGGCCAAGTTTAATTTTGGGACGGAGTTTGAAAAGAGCGTCGTATATTCTTTTTGGTAAACGACTGGGCTGTCTTTCGGGTGCATTTGGACGTTGCGGATTGACAAGACCCCACCAAATTGCGATCTGTTCCTCAAATTGTCATTGTCTCTCGAAAGTTCGAAAGGCGGTCGAAGTCCAGCTACACGGGGTCGACGATGCACGGTCATGGTGTTTCAGCATAACGAGCCAACCAGGTTTTCGACGCCGCCGGCGACTCTTCTTTCCGATATGACGAGTGGATCACCTGTCGGTTTGTGGACAGTGGATGCCAGAGGAAGCCTGTATCTAGACGATGTCGGAGTTTCACCTTCATGGCGTGCAACCCCAACTCACAGACACGTCAGAAGCAATATTCTTCTGGATTGCCGCTGACGCTATTCTTGGTTTACTGAGCAGCGATCACTTTAGACGATTTTTCCATCCCACGCATCAGCAATACCACCTCTCCCCCAATGGACCGCAAATGCCAGGATTGCGGTGAACCTGCCTCTAAACGCTGCGCTAGCTGCACTGTTCCGACAGCGTGGTACTGCTCATCCCAATGCCAGCGGCGAAATTGGGTAGAACATATTTTCGAATGCAATCCTCGACGAAATATAACCACCGCCGATTACCTCGCCCTCGCGATCCACAAAAAAATGTTCCCAGACGATCCCCAAACGTGCCAGGATTTCGGCTTCACAAAGGCCTTCAGCATCGAAAATCAATCTCGGTTGTTGGGGCTGTATGTCGGTCTCATTGAGCGCCTCAAAATCAGCCCCAAGACCGTGCGCCAATGGCAACTCGAAGGAACCCTCATCGACAACATTAAGACTTCCTTCAGCTCTCTTCCCGCCCAGTCGAGAGGGAGCTATTACCCTTGGTTTCTCCGTAACCAATGGGTTCTCGATCCTAGGCTCTCTCCACCACAAGATCCTGTGAACGACACGATGGTGCGATGTTGGGAATATGTTCGTGGCGGTCCGAACACGGATACTCCGAACAAGATCTCGGCTGAGATGCATGGCTGGCCAGAAGAAAAGCATGCATGCTACTCGCTCTGCAATCTGATCTTGTCCCAGACGCATCCATCCCCCGAACTGGATATCTGGGTCAAGTTCGGGTTTTGTGCTTGCCATGACGAAGAAGAGGAGAGAATACTGGCCGGGGTCTACACGCAGCTAATCAAGCATAAAAGATGCACATTCGAGCAGCTCTACCATGCATACCTCACTTCTGGGCTCATGGCTCTATTCAGTTCCAGAGGGCTCCAGCTGCAGACGGACAGAATCCCTCATCTTTCCGCGATCTTGGAAAGGTCCCCCAAAGTTTTTCCCTCAGTCTGCTATCTGAAACAATTTGTGGCTGCTCAGGGAGAAACATCGGAGCTGATCCTCAGCGTTGCGGTGGATTATGGGTTCCGTAATTGCGAGAACGAGCATGAAAAATCCCGCCTGAAAGAACTGTACAAACAGGTCTTCACCCTCCCTCGTCCTCGCTCCGATCTCATGAGGTTGCACCACGTCTGCATCCAGGGAAAATTGTACAACCACATTGGGCAACTCATCAAGTTGCGCAAGGACGAACAGAAGCTCTTTAAAAGGCTGTTGAGGAATCCGTATCCGATGCAAAATATGTAGGGAGTAATACGACGAATAATTATTCTCGTTGCCTCAGAATTGATAAACACGAGGACTCGCGACTCGGACTCAGGAGTGTACATACCGAGTAGATTACCACGCGATCTCTACATCAGCCTCTGAGATCTTTCTTCCTTCGCCCCCATCTGCCTCTCCTCTCCGCTTCTGGCCTTGTATCGGCCTTTGCAAAGGCCCTGCCTTCCCTCCAGCCTAGTTTCTTTGAACTTCTGTCCACACGCCTTGTGCCCTTGCTCGTCGAAACATTATATGAGTTTGTCTTCTTCTCTTATTGGCGAGTCAAACCATTCATCTCGTTTAGCGCCATCTCTAAGGTCTAAGACATGCCGCACTTAGGCGCTTCCTTTTGCCACTGTATCCTCGTCGAATATCGCTCGTCTTTACGATCTCCCGCGCCCTTCGCGAACAACCTTTTCTGATCCGCTGCACCTCTCATCGGCCTTTGACCCATTTTCATCTGCGGTCGCCCAGGCTTTCAGTGAAAGTCTTCAAAGGATCTATACAGACCTAGGCATATATCAAGATCCAAATGCAAGCGCCCCAACCCCCTCCGCTACCCCCTCCCTCATCTACTCCGCTCAAACGCAGCCAGAGAAAGAAGAAGAGAGCCATGAAGGAACGGTTTCAAGAAGACTCTGATCCTGAAGAGTCATTAGCTGAGCGGGCCCGCTCCGTCGCAAACGCTTTTGTCCCCGCCTCCCGCGATGATTGATTTCTCTACGCAGCCCGCGCCATGGATGGCATGACCAGGCGCCCACCAAATCGGCCTCGGCGCTGGGCATACACCCCCTCCCTCATTTCCGGCAACATCGCCACTGTTTACTTCCACCAGAGACGTTCAGGTTGCGTCGATACTTATCCCGGCCCTGGACCACTGCCCTCTGCCACCAATCTGCCTAGCAGCCCTCCACAATACCGCGCCGGAACCTTTTGAACTGATGAAAGAGACGCACTTCATGCTTCAGTTACTCATGAAATGGTCCACTGCTAGCGTGTACCATATGTAAGTTTGCTTCCTGAACGTTAATCACGTCGCAGTCTAATTTTCGGTGCATTTGCGTTCAATGCATTTGCGTTCAAGCGCGTGCAATTATCTATGTCGGCGGATTTGCGTCTCCAGTTAATCCCAATGTCTAACCGTTTGACAGGCGAACATATATAGGACAGACGATGAAATCAGCTTGTTTCCCCGTTCGCAGAATACACACTCACAGAGGAAACAATGAATCTAGCCACTCTGTACGCGACGATTTTGAGTCTGTCCACGACATAGAACCCTGACCTTCTAAGCCGCAGCGAGGCAACAGAACCTTAATCGGTATCTGCTCAATGAACATCATAACGCTTGACTTTCTTCTTCCACCCACCATAAACAAGGCGCGAAACAAGAAGTGGAATTCATGGTCGGAGAAGCTAAGTATGGTGGTTCGTCCTCTATACTGAATCAGTGTAGGAGCAATCAGTGTAGGAGCAATTGGAGTATACCGAGACGACGAAGGATGTTGGGAACCAGCCGTTGGACTTCTGGTTTGCTTGCTGAGTTTTGACTAGTACCCCAGCGTCATGACGTTCGTGTTCCATGACTCTGAACTGGCAACTGTGATGAGTATGTGTACGGGTTTGACGACAGTGGTTGGTTGGTGGTTGGTCTCTGAGGTGGCGAAGGTCAATTGCGCCGCGTGTTCGGGTTTAAGAAATGATGCTGGCGATGGTCGTTCCGTAGCGAATTTCTCAATCGAGAGAGAATCCAAGTGTCTTTCTTGTCGACGCTGGTTGGTTTGAGTGTGGGAATTGTTCACCGAATGCAGGCCGGATCACTTATTACCAAATTGGGTACCACTACGCTTCGCATCCGTATATGGTAATTTTGTGCACTGGACCCAACCGCGACTCAGAGGTGCATCACGGCGAAACGAAGCATGGGCGCGAGAGTCAAACTAATTGTCTGCAATGTAGTTTTGGGAAGATACTTTTTACACCGGGGAGGGGTTATTCAAGCATGCTCAGCGAAGTGAGGGAGGAAATGCTTCGAGAAGTTCGATCGGCGTATGATCTAGGCAGGCATTGACAGTGGAGGGTGACGCAATGATGCGAATACTAAGTATTTACGTTGAGATGGACCTGGAATGCATGCGAGACAACCCCCAAATGTTGGATATTCAAAGTTCTAAGGCCTAGGACAGCTCATTGTGCACCAGAGTTCAGAGCTGTTGAGAGGTGCCAAAGTTGGAGGCCTTCAACTGGTCGTTTGTGCACTACTCAAGGCACTACTTAGCCTGAGGAGAGCCGAATTGTGGATGACACACCATGGTGGCTTGAGGCTCGAGGAAGGGAGACGGAACACGGGAGGGGAATATAGTTACAGATCATATATGATAGGAAGATTGTGAGGACTCGAGCGACTGAGTGCCGGAGCGCACCGATGGTTCTGGGCATCTATATCGATAATGCTAAAACGTGTACCGGGAATATGTCAGCAAACGCGCGGAACGAGGCAAAAAGCGTAGTGACGAGAGTGGGATTCGAACCCACGCCCCGAAAGACCAGATTACAAACGATGAAGTCTGCAAGTTGTGCTTCAAATGAAGCGGATCCTTAGTCTGGCGCCTTAGACCGCTCGGCCATCTCGCCTTCGCGTTTTACGGTTGTTTGCATTGGGAGTTGATGTGGGGAGGGAGGCGAAGAAGAACGGGGGAGATCGAATCAAAACTGAGCGAGATCACTTGTAAAGACGAGTTTGTCACAAAGAACGTTTCACAGCGTCTACGATAACCGCGTTTTACGGTTGTTTGGGTTGAGGGACAATGGGGGGAGGGAGAGGGAGGCAGGGGAACAAGAACGGAGACGATCGAATCAAAACTGAGCGAGAATACTAGCAAGCACTTGAGTTTGTTATGGCGGAAGGCATTGTTTCAAAGCGTACACAAAGGTCGACGTATATGAGCGCCGAAGAGGAAGAGATACACAGCAGAGTACCCCAAGATACATATGGCACGAGATATCAGTTTTCAGGCAGTTGACAAGGAATAAATGCCCAAAGCCGTTTCCCCCCTCAGTATTTCAACTCGTATCAGCATACTAGGAGGTATATTGTTGTCCATGAGTCGCCGTTAGGTGCAACCAGACTCAGCGGCCAAAATTACCATATACGGATGCGAGGCGTAGCGGTGTTGTGCACTGTTTGGCCCCGGCCGCGGCGTTCGACTTCAACTCAAGACATGCCTCCAACTCCTCCACCACCACCACCACCACCACCACCAGCGTGGCCTCTCCCCAAATTCAACATCCGCATCGAAGATCTCGCTCATCCCGGCGCCGATCTCTTCCTCGACAATGTCAAGCCTCTAGCAGCTCTCCGCGCTGCGGTCCTCGCAAGCTTTGAATGGTTATACGCAACACCAGGGAATGCACCTACCAAGTTCGTTGAATTCCTGGTCTGATTCTGTCAGCAACTCAGCGCGGTGTAGCGTAGAGCTGATACAACTGGTGCTTCGGCCTATGGATGGCGTTGCGTATACTTTTGGATCTGCGTCGCAAAAGGAGATTCACATGTCCCTTGATCATATCGTGAACAATAGCTCTCGCGCACGCGAGGAGATCATGGGCGTTCTCGTACATGAGGTATTATTTTGCTTCAGGTTTGATTCTCGCCAGATATAATCCTATTTCGCTAGGTCGTCCATTGCTACCAGTACAACGCCAATGGCAGTGCCCCCGGGGGGCTTATCGAGGGGGTTGCAGGTATATCACAGCTCCAATGTTTGATCTTCTAGTATTTATACTCTACGCAGACTTTGTCCGTCTGCATGCAGACCTCGCTCCCCCACACTGGAGCCGCTCACCATCCCCGAGCGATAAATGGGATTCCGGCTACGAGCGGACGGCGTACTTCCTCGACTGGATCGAGGAGCGCCAGGGTAAGGGCACCATCCTCGCACTCAACGCCGCCATGCGCGAAAAGGACTACGACGAGTCCTTGTTTGTCGAACTTGCTGGGGAGCCTGTTCGGGATTTGTGGAAGCGGTACAAGGCACAATTCGGTGTCGCCGACGAAGAGCCTGAGGAGAAAACGGAGGGTGAGGGCGAGGAATGTTATGTTTTGGTGTAAGTATGTGCTTCCTGGAGGAGTTTCGTTATTTATATGATTTGTTAGTCGACCTTACAATCCGGTGTACATATGAGGGCGCCGGTTGACGCTGAATAGAGGACCGACTAGACGACGGGTTTCACGATGACCGCTGTATTTGCAATGGAATTGGACGGGGCACTGTAATTATATCCAATGAATATGTATGATTCAATTTGTTCGAGCACGAGCTGGCCCAAGAGGCTTGAAAGACTGGTGTCGATATGTTCCTTCGCAAATGCCAGCGCCGACGAGGGCACATAGTCATATGGATTCTCAAGACATGAATGGTCGAATGCAATGCAAATTATTTGTGGTATATCATACAGAATGGGGCGGTGGCGACCTGGGCGCCGCGCGCTTCACCGCCGCCCTCCTCGCCCTTTCCAAAGACGTCCGTCCCCTCAACCGCCCCTGAAGCACCTTCTCCTCCGAACTCCTCGCCCTCAACACCTGCCTCCTCTTCGCCGCAGCCATCCTCTTCAACCGGTCATCCGCCTGCAAGAACTTACCCCCCACATCAACGAAATGCATCGGCAGGCGTCCCTCGCGGACGACAACCTGGACCTTTTGACGCGGGGATTTGATGGTGTCGGTGTCTTTGAAGCGCGGCATGAGGACGGAGTTGGATTTGTTGTCGTGGGCGGCTTGCGCTGAGCGTTCGGCGATCTTCTTCGCGTGTTCTAGCGAGGCGGGGAGGAGGGGTTCCTGGTAGCGCTGTTCATGAACTGGGACGGGGAAAGGGGAGGAGAACTGACATTGCCGTCGTCGGGAATCGACTCCCAGTATTGACGTTGGAAGCGCTGGCGCGCAGCGTCGCGGTTCTCTTCCTGTTCGAGCATGTCCGCCGTATGGACGTCCACTCGCTCGTTCGCGTCTTGCGATGAGGCTTTGACGCCTAATAGCATCTCCATTCCCCAAAGGAACCCGGTTTGCAGAGTTTTATTCTGTTCCGAGTGTCAGTAACGAGAACGAGGCATTGAAGGGAAGAGGAGAGCAGTCAGATGGGGTTGAAATCGAATTTAACCATGGTCCGGTGATGTAAGGGCACCGGATGGTCTGACAATATCGCGAATGAATGTATGGTATCATCATACACGAGACTGAGAAGAGGGAATGGGTACTAACATCCTGACAAGTTCAAAAGTGGCGGGTGAGGTTCAGCGGGGACGGGGTGAGGAGCTAGTCGAACCAAATACCTAGAGCAGGGAAGGTTCGTCAGCGAGAGGTTGATAGAAATGAAGGAGAGTGGGTTCAGAAAGAAAAGAGTTGTATGTAACCACGTAGGTGTCTTAAAGACTAATCGATTTTTGTGTATCATCCCTTGGTCGCTGACCACGGTAACGAGGTAAGAGACACGAACCTTTACATATGCAGCTTCGAGTCCCTTCAGTCGAAGGATGGCGTCAACACGCTTCAGACTGATACCGTGCCTCTGCGACAGCGCTCGAACACTATTCACTTCAGGATCCATCATGTAGTCCGCATACATCCGTGACCGAGTCGCGTCTGATATGGGAGCCGGTGGTTTGAACGACATGTTCATGGGGAATGGCTGTTTCGAAGAATGAGCAGACGTGCTGAAGGAGGAAAGGAAGAAGCAGACCGTCTCGAACAGGTCGGGCTTGACGTATGCTCGTGGCTTCGCAGTCCTAAGATGCGAGTATTGTTTGAGGAAACCTTGGTAGGTTTTTCCTGAAGACGCAGCCTCGGCGTCCTCCTCTTCTTCTTCCTTGTCATCGTTCTCGCTCTGCCGACGTTGACCAGGCGCTGCTGCTAACGCAGGAGCAGAGGAGGAGAGATAGCGGGGAGGGAGACGATGTTGAAGTGGCCGACAACATCGTGGTCGAAGTGAAAACATCGAAACCGTCAACGAAAATTTTAAATTTCTGATGATCACCTCGCAGGCTAACAAACGTCAACAAACTCTATATTTAGCCAGACGCGTTGCTTAACCAGAGCAATAAATGTAAGCCATGCTCTATGCTCTGGCGTTCACTCCGTTTAGTTACATAACCAAACGACGCCTTTAGTATTGCATGAACAGTCGATCTTATCTTCAAATTCGAAGAATCATCGGCGTTTTTACAACTCGATCCTTTACCACCATGTCTACCCGTCCCTTCGCACTAGAACGCCAATTCGCCGTATCAGCTGTTCGCAGAGCATGCGCATTGACCTCCTCCGTATTCAACAAACTTGTCAAGAACGAAACTTTGACCAAGGGGGACAAGTCGCCAGTTACCGGTACATACTAATCAAGTTTCGCGTTGAGTTGCGTCCCACTCATTCGCATTCGTCGCTCCAGTCGGCGACTATGCCGCGCAAGGACTCATCAGCATCATGCTGAAAAACTCCTTCCCGGCTGATCCTATCGTTGGGGAAGAGGACGCGGGGGAGTTACGGGCAGATGAAGGAAAGGTGTTGAGAGAACGAATTATCGATCTCGCGAATGAAGCTCTGGTTGCGCCTCGTGTTGAAGGCGACAAGGCAGAGTGGGGGATTGGTCCCGGCCAGACCAAGACGACGGATGAACTTCTGGATGCCATCGATCGAGGCAACTACGATGGCGGCAGGACTGGAAGTACGCTCTCGACCACCTTACCGGATTCCGTCCCATCCTGACGTTCCGTGTTTCGCAGGAATGTGGACGATAGACCCCATTGACGGGACCAAAGGTTTCCTTCGCGGGGAACAGTACGCTGTTTGTCTCTCCCTCCTCGTCGACGCGCAGGTGCAGCTTGGGATTATCGGATGTCCCAACCTTCCCCTCGATCTCTCAAATCCAGACGGAGAACGCGGGTGCATTTTTGTAGCAGTGAGGGGGCAAGGGTGCCAGCAGGTATATCGATTCTTGATTTTTGAGCCCGAACTCATGCTTATGATGAATACAGATTCCCCTCAGCGGCGCCTCTGAAACCACTCTCAGCATGCCGACCTTCACACCTTCTTCATTGACCTTCCTCGAGTCTGTAGAAGCTATGCATTCCTCTCATTCAACCAGCGACATCATTTCCTCCATTATCGGCATCACACGACCTCCGATACGTATGGATAGCCAGGCGAAATATGGATGCCTGGCTCGTGGAGATGGCGGGTTGTACCTGCGCATGCCAACAAATGCAGGCTATCGCGAGAAAATCTGGGTACGTGCCCGCGTTCTCAATTTTCTCGCTCGAAATAATTCGAAATATAGGATCACGCTCCTGGGTGTCTCCTTGTCGAGGAGGCAGGTGGAATTGTCACGGATTCGCGCGGTTTGCCTCTCGACTTTGGCGTCGGCAGAACTTTGGGTGAGAATTACGGTGTTGTCGCAGCTGGAAAAGAGGTGCATGCTGTAGTTCTCGACGCTGTACAGCAAGCGACTGGTGTGAAAGCCAAAGCTTGATGATAACAGCCAGGAAGTGATTAGACCACTGTATAAACAAACTGTAGAGTACAACGGAGGCATGCAAACAGACATCGAGATCTACTTCTTTGCTTTCTTCTTCGGCGGCGGTGTGTC